AGAGAGAGAGAGAGAGAGAGAGAGAGAGAGAGAGAGAGAGAGAGAGAGAGAGAGAGAGAGAGAGAGAGAGAGAGGGAGGAGATCGTTACCCCGTTATGTATAGTGACTGCGCTGCCCTTATTGAATGCATACCTCCAGTCCTGGTTACATTTGTCGACTCCTTTATTGTGGCCAATTCAAGGTTCAGACCACGTGGGCTATAAATGTACCAAACTTGCATGGACCTGCTTCAAATGCAAACCAGATTCATGCATACTTTTCTATCGCAGTTATAGAGGCCAAAGCTAACCGAGTTGGGGACATCTAATGGATAGCTCATCTAATGGAGTCTTAGGAAACTTGAAAAGTTTTTAAGTAAAAACTCATCCGACGTTGAATCTTGCTGTTTGCTTTTCTGCAGAGCTGAAGGAGGAAGTAAATTGCGACAGGATCGTTCATGCACATAGCGCCTGTCAAAATTTGTAGCCAATACCAAATGAGTTGTTCATACAATACTTTATCTTTTCCGTTTTTCTTGAAGTACTACTTCTTTGTGTTCCCTTTCTCTCTCCCTGCCCCATCCCTCCCCCGCCCCCCCGCCTCCTTAGACCTTCAACGACGAACTGTAAACTCCAGTTGTTCAGATTTTTTCTCTTCTGTTTGTCTTTTATAAAGCACTTCTCTGCCTTCCCCTTTCTCTCCCTTCCTCCCCCATCTCTGCGCCCCCCCCTATTCCTGGTCTCCGTTTCCCTCCCTCTTTAAACCCTAAACTGCGAACTGTAGACCCCATTTCTGCAGGTTTCCTCTCTTTTGTTTTTTCTTTTATGAAGTACTTCTCTCTCTTCCATTTTTCTCTCTTCCTCCCCTATGTCCCTCCACTCGGTCCCCCCTCGTCCTCTCTTCCGTTTGCCTCCCTCCTTAAACCCTACACCTCAGCCGTGAAACTGTAACTCCTCAGGGCCTCGCTCCACTACTCAGTGTACTCACCACATGCACAAAAGACAAAACATATGGCAGTGCATTTGTCCTTGTTCTAGCGGAACATTCATTTTCATTTTGCACATGTGGTGAGTAATGGAGCGAGGCCGTAAGCCTTACAACTCAAAACCACTGCTCTAGCACTGCGCGAGCCCAGCTCACCTACTATGGCATCAGTACAAGGCTAGGGGCCTTTTGGCAGGGAAAAGAAAGGCAAGGGGGGGAGGGGGAAGGGAGAGGGGGCGGATGCAGAAGGAACAGTTTTGGCAGAACCTTGATGTTGAGGGGTGCTGATGTATTTATGACTCGTCAAAGAACTGAGCCTCCTTTCACAAGTTGCAAAATGCTCTCCTAGTCCTTTATTTACTTGTGTATTGATCTTGTGACTAATCAGTGCACTACACCCTGCATAATTTGCAGAAGTCCCCCACAGTCCTTAACTTGCTTATTTTTATCCCTTGATTCATAAGAGAACTGAATCAGTGTACTGGACCCTGCACAATTTGCAGAATGGACTCCTGATTCTTTGATTGACCACCTGCTTTGGTCTCAGTTGCAGGTAGACATTACCCTCTGCCCTCTTGGCTGGGTTTTCCTGTCAGGTAGGACCGGAATAGTAGAGTTGCACGTGTATACATTGGCATATCACAATGAAGATGCAAGGCAAGATTGTGGAGAGACGTTTGCGGTTTCCAGGTTTCAGATCAGTGATTGCTCTGCTGGCACTGCCTCTTCTCAACGTTGCCATTTTGATGATGATGCTAGTGGGGAAGCGTATCTGGTCACAGGATTATAATGTCCGATTGGATAAACCTGAAGATGACGTGGCCCCGGTGGAAAAGACCAGCTCGACCAGATCACACAGGTTGGCAATGCCAGGACATCATCGGACTAAAACGGTACAGTGTCATGGTCATCATCCCTTCCACCTTTGTAAGTACAGCCTTGAGTGCATCTAACACAGTTGGAGTTCCTTGTACTATGCCTCGACTTTGTCCTGATTTTGACAGTTGTGGGGAACAGCAGCTGTTCACAGCATCACAGCCGTCAAATCGAAAGAGAGTTTGGCAGCTGTCAAATTGACATGGTTTTGACAGCTGCAGGAGACAGCTGTTATATGGGAAGCAGCTGTCAAGACGAACAGTGCGTCTGCTTGAGTCGGGGGAAGAGAGAGATGTCGATGGATAAGCTCACCTACCGTTAATTGAGCAGCAGTGCGGAATGCCATGGAATTCAAACGAATCAAATTTGTACAACCTGCATCTATGGAACACTGGAGAATGAATGATGAACCAGCATAGCGTGTGAAGAAGGGTACTATGGCAGTGCTTGGGTGGGCTGGTAAAGTGGAACAATGAAGAATGGATAATGAACTAGAGTAGCGTGTGGAGAAGTGTACTATGCCCTTTCATCCATCTCCGCTTTGCTGCATCGATTCACCGTTTGTTTGTAACAAATTGACACGTGTCTGGACAGTATAGATCCACACACACGCAAACACTCGAAACTTGCACACGCACACACATACACATGCATGCACTTCTGGACACACTTTTCCACGCGAGTGTGTGTGCGAGTCTGTGTGTGTGTGTGTGTGTGTGTGTGTGTGTGTGTGTGTGTGTGTGTGTGTGNNNGAGAGAGAGAGAGAGAGAGAGAGAGAGAGAGAGAGAGAGAGAGAGAGAGAGAGAGAGAGAGGGTCGAATGGCAGCTGACATAGCAATAATTTGTCCAGTCCGGCTGAAGCGCAGACATGTTGATAAGTTGCATACCCCAGTGGTTGGGTACAATGACAATTTGGGAGGTATGAACCAGGGCCTGAGCGTGCTGATATTCGCACAGGGCGTTCCCAAGGCACAATGACATGCTGACAACTTTTCTTAGCCAACGGGTGAAGAAAGTTGTATTCATGATGAGCATCATTGTGCAGATTGCATGAGCTATTGGCTTCAAAATTCAAACTGTTTCACATTATCTTTTTTTTTGGGCTGCTGAAAGACATTTTCACTTTGCAGACCCCGAATTCGAGTCCCAGGGTTAAGGTCCCCAAGTCAAAAGAGGCCGAGAAGGTCAAAACAGAAAAACTGTAGAGTCGGGTACCCCACAGGCCACACAGGTCAAAATTCAACCGGTATACAGTGTCAAAGTCCAGCCCCACAGTCAAAATGTAGCAGCGCTCCAAGGAAAGTCTGGAAGGTCCGGGGCCCAATATTCCAAAAGCAAACTGGCCGCGGGCGACCATTGTCACACTTTTTTCTAATCAGGCCATTTCTGGCGACCGGAAAGACAACAGGCTGTCACGCAAGATCTTGATGATATTTGCAATAAATAAATGATTAATTCAAATCCCATCCTGTTGAGTCCGTCTGGCTTCGGCGAGACCCGTCAATTACGGTCTACGCGGGTCCTCTGTGTTAGGAACCTTCAATTAATTTGGTTCGGAACAACTTTAACTATGTGAGTAATAAAATCAAAATTAAATACATCATGATTTTCAATTAAGGAATTTGAAAATTGTGATAAGATCAGCAAGGAAACATGACGTCAAGCAAAGACAATAAGGGCAATACAAGATTGACCGACTCAAGGCAAAGACAAGATGAATAAGGGAAGGTGACAACTCGTAATAATCTCAAGAGTACAAGATGAAATACATGATTTGCGTTATAAGTCTCAACTCTCATCTTCCCTCTCAATCTCATCCTTGATCGCAGTTTCCCTGAGCGTCGAACATCATGCCGATGTATCTCAATTTCTAGTGTAGCTGGTAAAAGGGCCTTTACCCGATACAGGCCTTGTAAAAGTAAAGCATCGTGAAGGGGTATCTCGCCAGGACCCAGAAACGTGAAAGCAGGTCAAAGGTCCAGTTCTATATCAAAAGGCACATCCTAAACTAAAACAAAGGTCATTGCCAAGGGACATACCTGTTCGTCAGGAGATATACATGTCATGTCTGTTTAGATATAGGTGTGTCTGTACATGCAGTCAGTGTGTCTGTTCGTGCAGAAAGGGAGTGTCTATTCACACAACGTGAGTGTCTGTTCAGGCGGTGAGTGTGTCTGTTCGTCTAAAGTTGTCCCTGTCCGAAAGTAAGTCAATAGGTAAAGTCCCAGTTCTGGTCTAAGTCGAGGAGACAGTCCAGATCCAGACATCTAAAGTCCAAATCCAGGCCGAGAGGCCTCAGCAGCAGTTGAACTTCATTGGGACAGTACTGGGAAACATGCAATGCAGGGTCTGGGACAAAGGAAGGCCTGAAGCAGCCAAATGCAGACCCAGCGAGAGAGGCCAGCACTATAAAGGAAGCAGCCAGCCTCATTCCTCGCCAGATCTCCACTGGCATCCTGTGCGTGGAAGTGCTGAAGCACTTGTGCGCCAGTCAGGAGGAGCAGCGCTGGAGGATGAAGATGCGCTATGAGA